ATTGAATTAAGGTTATTGTTGACATACATATTCTAAATTATTTAAAATGCTGCTGCTAAAGGTTACCAGTCAGCAAAGAATATCAATTCACTTTAATTAGTTTGAACCGAAGACGAGCAAAAATTAAGATTCTGCACTTTAGAATTATTCTAATTCAGCTTCTTGGCAACCTGGAAAAGAGAAAGATTATAGGAGCAGTTTACTCAGATATACATCTTTCTATACTGCATGACGATGGAGAATATTTTGGAGATGCATGGAGTGGTTTCACAGGTAGGATTTGACCTGCCACATGGATGGTTCATTTATAATTGATAATCCCAAATGACAGGTTCAATTTGTTAACCAATATGGGCAAGGAAATCAAATCAGAAAAACAGCTCTTTAAACACGTCCTTAATAATACCTGAAATAGTAATAGTAATATCTGAAACATCTCAACAATATATGAAAGAAAAATAAGAGACATAAGTTTGATAAACCATGTTGAAGGTCTTTTGTTGACGTAGTGAAAATATTGGTGGAATATCAGAAAGTGAAATGAGATAATTTTCCAATACCAAATGTGTTCACTTTACAATGAGACCTCTTTCCAGTGGGCAAACATGTAGAAATAACTTTAAGAATGTTTTATCCAATGACCAGCAAGTAATTAGATCTGCTGTATGCAAAGAGAATTAACTCCCGGTCTGTAGTCTAAAAAGATTAATTTCTTGAAGAAGTCAGTTATAAGCCAATAAATGAGCAAAAAAAGTCTTTAACATTGAATGGTTTTACCACTGAAGAGAAATATAGAAGATAAGACAATATAGCAAAAGCTTTTCTTTTGCCCGTTATTATAAGTTTGGACAAGTGAAATATCAACAACAGACATATGACAAATTATCAGTGAGAAATTTTACAGCCAGAAATACTAAGGAGAAAGAGGAATTAAAAAAAAATATTGTGAATAAAATTAATCCTAGAAAAATGATAGGATTGTTATTAGAAGAAAACAGTTGAAATTGTCAATACTGATTCAGAACATAATGTGGTCATAATGTATGCATAATGTGGTTCCATCCTAGTCAGGAATATAATATGCTTTTGCCTAAAATAATATGCAAATAATTTTTCATACATGAGTACTTTAGAAAGAAATGATTACTGGTCTGCCTGAACATTTAATGTTGCTATTCAGAAAAAAGAAGGATGCTAAGGAAGTATTAAAAACATGGATAAAGCTAGGGTTACATTTGAACAACATAAAAATATGATCTTGGTTATATAATTCTGTCTATGCTGGAATCTCTAACAGGTGAAACAACTGAAGGCCTCATATGTGATGCCATCAATACAGAAAATGATTGTGTAATTAGTAACAGTGAACATGTCAAATTGGGCTGGGTGAAATTGTTGAATATGATTGATAAAGATGACTACATTGACATATCCTTCTGTAAAGCAACAGACACACAGCAGTATATCAATCTAATTAAGTGATTAGCATTATACAAAATCAGTGTAACACATAATAATTAATTAAAACCCAGCTAAATAGAAGATCTGCAAAAGTAACCATAAACAGCTAATCATCATCCCCTGGGTAATCTTGAGGAATTCATATAGTTCTGTTCTTTTTCATAAGTGAGTTCTTCCCAACGTGTGGCTGGTGCCAGGACTCTGCCACCCCACCCCACGCCTCTGCAGTGCCCAGCTGGCTGGTGCTGCTCCAGTTGCTCAGATCCCTGCTGGGAGCTGGCACAGACTGTTTGCTCAAGTGGGCATACGCGACGGCACTAGCACCAGTTCCCTTGGCCTGGTTTGGCATCCTAAGAGCTGAGTGCCTCTCTGACATGAAGTGGAATGAGCTATAAACACACCCTTGATACCACTGCCTTGGGGGATTGAGCCCCACGTTTTAGAAAATGCTGTCCTCTGCTACTACATAAATTTATGAGTGATCTGAAGAAATATTTAACAGCATTAACTGTAAAATTTACAGATGACATCAAATGCATAAAGCACTAAATAATGCAAATAAAAACCAGTTTTTCTGTAGGGAAATTGACATCCTTTACTAAGCCAGGATCATTTGAACATGCTTTTTGAGACAGCTGAATGCAAGGTCATTCAGCAGGAACAAAGAATGTAGGTCACGTTTAGAAGACTGGAGACAGTGTCCTGGAAAGCAGTGACTCTGAAAAGGATTTAAGGGTCACAGTGGTTAGCCATCTAAAGAGAAGCTCCCAGAACAATGTTCCAAGGCATTTGGTATGGCCTTCAGATACAGGAGTGTTGAGTGGTGACATAACTGTATCCAATTCTAGTCTGACAAAAGTGCTTAAAAATTACAAATGTTCAGAAGAGCACGGCTGGAATACTGTTAGATCTGAAAGTCTTGATTAAGAATAACAGAGATGAGAAGTTCAAGTCACTTATTTTATCCAAAGTGGGATTAAGAAGTGACTGTTTTGTGGTTAATAAAGATGCATTACAAGGGCTCAGGAAACACAATACTTCAAAGTCTGTCCAACAAGGAAAGATAATTTTGTACTAGCAAAACAGTATGTTTTGTTAACAGGGGGACTATATTAAACTCTATTAAAGTTTATTTAAGCTTTATTTCTATTTAGAATGGCATTGTTTTAATTTGAGAACAAACAAATGGAAAAAGCTAAAGAAAAAACATATTTTAAAATGCTTTAAAAAGAAAAGCACTGTAAGCATGCTTGACGGAAGCAATCAGACTGTACACTATTGTGTTGTGTCTTCATGTTAGACACAAAACTGTAAATGAACAAAACAACACATTTTAAAAAATACTTTTCTACTGGGTTTATACTTTTGTATTGATTTATATTGTATTCTCTTCTTTGCTTTTAAATATAATTGGAGTGAAGATCTTCCTTGAACATCTGTGAAATATTTTGCACACTTAGGGTAGGTGTAAATAATACATGTTAGAGAGATGTAAACACCAATGGGAGAAATAAATTATGTACGTGAACACAAGGCACTATAGCTAAAGTAATGAGTTGAAACATAAGAAACTTCCATTAACCTGATCATCAGAAAAAAATTCCTTATAATTGGAAGAATTCAACTTCGAAGAGATGTCTCCTTTGGGAAGAAGAAGCCCCATTACCCGAGACATTTAAAATGAACTGGACAAAATAGCAGTGAAAAATGTTTAAGAGCAATCCTTTGTCAGAACCGTGATAGTATTTTCCATCTCTAATCTTTGTGATCTCCTGGTTTTTCTTATAATTTAAGATGGTCATGAATATTTTACTTGGCTGTCGACCTACAAAAGAAGTGGTTTAAAGACTAGAATTTTGTTACAAGACTATCAGAATTATTTTAAAGTTAGTTTCCATTCTCCCATCGGGTGTACCAACATTACTAATATCACTGTATCTGTTACGGTTAAACAGAGACCAAGAGGTTTACAAAAACAATAGACTAAAAAGCAATGTAGCTGTTGAAATACTCAATGTGGAGGTGTTCCTCTTCTAGGATCTTGCATCTGAAAAACAACAGCCTTTATAGTAAAGTGACTCTGCACCCATTGATCATAAAGCAAGAATTAAGTTCCTTAGAACAAGATCTACAAATACTAAGCTAAGTGGTAAGAGTGTGCTGAGGACAGAGTTGTACATTGAATTCTGAATCTTTTTGATGTTCAGGTATTTTAATACTATTACTTCCTTGAGCAGAGGTTTTTCTGGAGGTTTTAGGTGCTCATTTCCCTTTCAAAAAAAAAAAACAAAACTAAGAAAAAAAGCCAGAAGACTCCTATCTCTGCTCTATACTTTAGTGATTAAAGAACCCCTCCAGGATGATGAAGACAGAGAACAATTAGTTTTTCTCCTTTAGGGAATCTCCTGTCTCCTAAGAGCCTATATGTGGACTACTCAAGGGGAAAAAGGAAAGACAGGGTGTGCTCCTTCCCTTTCTTCTTCTGAGCCTCTTACACTTTTTGTAGACTGAAGGCTTCGTTTGCCTTCAGACAGATTAAGTGGGAGCCTCTATTCTGACTAGAGGAATAGATGGGAGCAGGGCACCCTGGGCTTAAGTCCCTGCTCCACGGATTGTCTCTGGATTTATGGATATAAAACATATAAATTGTCCGTAATACAGACAACACAAATCCATCTTTTGTCCTTCCCAAATGAATGCTGTAAACCATGAGGTTATAGACTAATTCCCTCTCTCTGATCTAATGCATTTTTAATTCTTTCAAAGTGTAGCAGCTTCAACAGAAGGGACAGACTGTGTTTTCTTCCCTTCTGTGTCCCCCTGGACCATGGGCTGTTTACCTGACAAAAAGAGAGTTGAAGTCTTTGTTGCACAAAAAACAAACCAGATCCTTCACCTCAAGAATGTTTTAACCACTGAGATTTTTACATTAAAGTGAAGAACAACCAAGCCTGTGAGTAGAAAGCATCAGCTATGGCTGAATTTTTATGTGGAGGTTGCCTTAGCAAATGTGCTCCAAGACCGGAGAGGCTAAGGCCATAAGAGGAGTGACTCAGTCAGATGAAGCCTGAGATACCCTCGGGCAAATACAGCTTCTGGGAAATTTAAGCATAAAAACTGTAGCAACTGTGGATATTAGTCACTTCCAAGGTCAGCTGTAACTAAGCAAGTGGTGTGAATAAGCATGGCTTCACTGGTTTTCATACCTAAATTCCACATCAGTACCACCTTCAGCACCCAAACCCTGTCATGGGGCTTTGGGGACTAGCCAGGCTAGCAGTCCTTCGTGACCAGGCGAGCTTCATGGAAATGCCAACTCACACATTTGGTAAAATCACTTCTCAAGGCGTTTTTTGGACGCCGGGCCAGCTGGCCCCGCCAGGCATGGCCCTGCCTCGGGCACAGGCATCTTCCGATCGGGCACGTCTCGCTGGCCGGGGCTCCCCGGGGCGGAGGGAGGCGCCGGGGGGGCGGCGGCTACCCGCATTGCGACCAGAAATTCCGCCCCGGGAGAGTCTGCTGGTCCCGGCAGGGCTGCCCCGGCACCCCCGCTCTGCGGGCAGGGCGCGCTGCCCGGAGCAGCTCCAGCGCCGATGGAAGATCGGGGCCGCAACGGGAGGGAGACAGAAAGGGGGAGACAGCGGCGGCGGCGCCGCCCTCTGGAGAGCGCCTGGGAGAGGCTGGTGTGAAGAGCCGCATTTCAATGAGGGCCGGGCTAATGCAAATCACTGCAACCGGCAGCAGCAGAAGAAAGGCGAAGCAGCTGCAGCCCGGGCTCCCCAGCAGCGCGCTACAGCCAGGGGAGGCGTAACAAAGGCAGCGGAGCCGCTTTCTGCGGCAACTACTGCGCCTGCAGCCGGGTGGTCGCCGGGGGGAGGGGGGAGCTCCTTGGCCGCTTTCCATTCCGAGCCGCCGCCTTCCCTCCGCGCCCCGCCGGCAGGTCTGAGCGAGGAGGTGCCCGCCAGGCTGCGGAGAACAGGTAAGGGCCAGGGCCGTCCCTACCCTCTCTCTCCTGCGCGGGGGCTGCGGCGTGCGGGGCCATCGAGGCGCGGTGGCCGGCGGTGCGGGGCAGTGCAGTGTGTGCACCTGTGCCCATTGTGTGGGGCGGCGGCCTCGGCCGACGCCGCGGCGCTGGCCCCGGGCGGCCCCGCGTGTGCCGGTGCGTGTGCGGGGGCGCGGGGACCCGCTGCCGCCTCCCCTCCCTGCGGCATCCCGGCCGGATGGCCCCTGGATGGCCCCGGCAGCCCGGGGAGCGGGCGCGGTGCGCTCCCGGCTCGGTCACCGCGCGGATCACGCCGCGCACAGCCCGCGGCGGGGCTGGAGTGCTTGGTGCCACCTCCAGCAGGCTGGGGGTATTTCAAACACGTTTCCCATACCCCAGCATTATAAGCCCCTTTTTTATTCGTGAACCCGCTGCCGCATTTATCCACGTTTCCCGGTTCCCCCTCCCCCCCAGTGACTAGTAGTTGTCCTGCTGCTTAGTATCTGTATGATCTGCGCTGGGTCCCAGTCACATCGCTGCGTGATGTATTTTTTTTTTTATCGGCATGTGTGGTTGTTTCATGGAAATGCTCATCCACACCTGTGTTATAAATAATTCTTTAACAGATGTTAGGGTGTGAAGCGTTGGGCATGGTGGTTTTCCAGGGGTGTGTCCGTTCGTTTTTCCGTATCTGCCTGTATACGGCTATATATTTATACACAGACAAACGGAAACATCTGATCGGATCAAATTGTTTAGGATTTCTTTGTCTGCTCTGACCTTGTGGTTTGAACACGCTTTTCTGTAAATAGCAGGACTGTGGTGTTAAAGGGGAGCTCTATTTCTGTTTTAAAGGGCGAAATTGGGAATTACAGGCATTATTGATTAAAGCATAAGCGTGCGGAAGAAAGGGCAGTGACTCGCACTTCTTCCTTCTCTCATTCAAAATTGGTAAAGCTGAAAGCCTCTTAAGAAAGTGTATAAGTATATCTTCACCTAAACTTCTTTTTTTTTGGTTTTGTTTTGTGTTTGTGTGTGTGTGTTTGAGATGGTTTGAGCAAATGAAGCAGCAGACCAAGGAAAAATCCATTTTTCTTGGCACAGGCATCATTGCTTTTGAGATACAGTTTCTGAATTGTGCATTATGGAATTGTTTAAATCTGAATAACAGGTTCTCATTGTAATTGGAAATGAATTAAAACAAGTGACATCATTTTTTGAACATGGAAACAGAGGTGGTATAATCTTGATTCTAAGCTGTGGCCACTAAGGTATATTTTGTATTTAACCTATAAAGAAACATCAACAAAATGCCACAGCAAACATTCTTGTTCATTTCAATTAAATGGGGTGTATGGGAGAAACACAGATTAGTCTTTTTTCTTATATATATAAGAAAACACAAACATATACTGCACCATGTGTATGTTACGTGCCTTTACAGTATTTACAGGTATAAATCCTGCATATACACATAAGCATATGATCCTGTGCCAGTGTAATAAAGTAAGTTGTGAGCTGTAACCAAAGCAGGGTAAATAATTTCCACCAAGGCCCCGCATTTGCAATGGTTAGCTTTAGGTGCTTGTGCTAGCCAAGCACATGAGCTGCTCTGAGAAGTTGCTGAGCGAATCCACTACAGCTTTGCAGCATGAGGGTCCAGTTGTATAATCATTGGTTTAATACAAACTTCTGTAAGCCAAAGAGCAACTGTAAGTTTTTCTGTATTTCCTCCCACTGTTTTACAACTGGTCTGAATACAATTTTTTTCTTAATGGTCACATCATTATGAGTGGTTGAAACAAAGCTAGTGCTTGCCATTTTTTGTCTTTTTATTGGAAATCAATCAGAGAGGCCACTTCTAAATTAGGTCTGTGTATCTGTGCTATAAATAAACTTACTGTGCTTTGCTGTTCTGCAGACAACTGCAGATCTAGGTGGCTCTTAAATTAAAATAAAAGTGTTTTGAACCTAATGATTTTTTGATAATTTTTTTTATTTTATTTTTTTACTTCCATTTGTGAAGATTAACATACTCTTTGTAGAATTTAGTCTTGTGTTGGCTGTAAAAAGGAACAGAAGTATTTTCCCCTTTGGTTTCATTTCAGAACATGTGAATGTCTATTTATGTGAACTGTATTGAACAACTGGGATTGTTTTGGTCAGGGCTGATGGGTTTTTCTCACTATCAAGCATGGGAGACGCCAATTGCTAATCTGCCCTATGATACAGATTTTATCACTCCTTTGGTAATGGCAAAAAAAAGATATCAGCCTTAATCAATTTGCATATTAGACTTAGGATGTCAATAATACATCTTGCAAGTCTTACAGAGCACTAAAGTAGCTTGCTCATTGAAAAATACTGATTTCCTCTCTACCCCAATATATTTTTTTCTTTAATTTCATGCCAATTGAGCCCTTCTGTTGTTTTAGAGTGTGTAAAGCATTTGCACGAGGACAACTGAAGTAATTTAATACAAAGCTTAGGCTGTAAGGAAACCAATGGTTGGAATATGCAGGGACTTAACAGTGGGATTGACCCACTAAGTGATAGTCCTGATTCTCATTGCCAACCTGCAAGATCTGTTCCTCTGAAAAGTTCTTAATTGCTTATTTGTTGGCGACTGGCTGCCCTTCTGAAACAACACCTCTGGAGATAGAAGTTGGAACAAACAGTTCAGTGGGGGCAAGCTGTCTAGGAGGTAGACTAGACTCAAATAGCACCTGAATATAACATGAGAAAAAGTAGAAAGTTGATGCGTTTGTTCCTTTTTTCCAGTAACTCAAGTTTGTCATCTCATTTTCAGAGTTACTGAATTTGAATAAACATTTCTAATGTTTTCATATCACTGGCAGTTTGGTTTGATGAGTCATGTTTCTATGGTGTACAAAAGTCTAATTTATAATCTTAGTTTTATGGCATGTGTGAAATGACCATGTGAATATAGCACGATTTTATTCAAACATTCTTCTCAACCTAGAAAGTAGTCCTCTGTAATGTACAGTAGTCCTCTGTAATGTACAGTCTTCTGTAATATAATATAATTTCAAAGTGAGCTCCCTTAAAATGTCTAAGTTTCTTTTTCTCTTCTTTTATGCATCCCTTAGGTTGAACTTCAAGATGTCCCTTGGGAGAGATATGGAGCTGGAGCATTTTGATGAGCGTGATAAAGCACAGAGATATGGCAGAGGGTCCCGGGTAAATGGTCTACCCAGCCCTACTCACAGTGCCCACTGCAGCTTTTACCGAACCCGTACTCTACAGACCCTGAGTTCTGAGAAAAAAGCCAAGAAAGTTCGTTTCTATCGTAATGGAGACCGGTATTTCAAAGGGATTGTATATGCCATCTCCCCTGACCGGTTTAGATCCTTTGAAGCTCTCCTGGCTGATCTGACCCGAACTCTGTCTGACAATGTGAATCTGCCCCAGGGAGTGAGAACAATCTACACAATTGATGGCTCCAAGAAGATTACCTCCTTGGACCAGCTAGTAGAAGGTCAGCAGTAAGATTTGGAGGTGTAAAGTTAAGTTTGAGTCAGTGTTTGTTTAATCTGTTAAGTCTTTCAAAAACAGGTAATGGTATTGTTCTTATTGGTAAAGGAAGGATCTTCAATGGTCTGAGCAGAATTGTGAATACCTGAAATTATGCCTTGAAATATTATTGCCTTGCTACTTATTTCCCTCTTGTTGAATGTGTCTGACCTTTTCCTGTCTCTTAACCTAGTGTTGGTAGTCCTAGATGCAACAGATTGTATCTGTTCCTTCTTTATTTTAAACATGCAAGTTCAAATGCCAGTGAGAGTTTAGTCTGTTAAACTTCACAAGGTCTGTGGTGCTAATGAAACCTATGTGAATTTCAGTTCTGATGGATTTTTATTTTTTTTTAAGTCTCTCTGTACCTTGTGAAGAGCTCCAACTCTTTCCTACCAGTAAATATGCCTTAAGTAAAATACTAGCCTCTCATGAAGTGGCATAAATGTTGGCAGCTTGTTAAAGGAGTAATATTGTAGCCATTGTTCAGCTGGGGTAGATCTCAAAATTTTCTCCCCTGTAGCATTTCACTTCTCCTCTTAACCGGTCATAGAATTGTTAAGGTTGAAAAAGACCTTTAAGATAATTGAGTCCAACTGCTAACCCAGCACTGCCAAGTCCATCACTTAAACCATATCCACTAAGTGCCATATCTGCGCATCTTAAATACCTACAGGAATAGTGGCTCAACCACTTTCCTGGGCAGACTTTTCCAATGCTTGACAACCCTTTCTGTGAAGAAATTTTTCCTAATACCCAATCTCATCCTTCCCTGGCACAACTTGAGGCCATTTCCTCTTGTCTTACTGCTTATTAACTTGGGAGAAGAGGATCAACACCCACCTTGCTACAACCTCCTTTCAGGTAGTTGTGGAGATCATTGCATTATTTGATAATAAGTCTCATGTACCTGCAGTATAAAGTAAGGGACCCCAATAATACAACTTGGCATATTCTGTGATTCTGTGGTTCTTGGTGACAGTCAAATGTCAGACATGCTAGTTGTTAATTTGCCCATTAACACTGAATTCATCACTCCTTCAGTGATAGTTTTATTGACAAAAGAAGCTGTCAGCATTAATCAATTTAAATCATCATCATCATCATCATCATCATCATGGCTAGGCTTCGCGAACGAAGATTTGAGAAAGGCTCTGTCCACATTTGTTACAAGCACACTGGTGGCTAATAAGGCCAGTACGAGATAAAGCCTTCAAGCCTGTGCAGTGGATTTTTTAGGTGAGACACAGTATGTGCGGAACTGAACCCACCCTTTAATCCTAAGGTTCATCTGCCAGGGCCGAGTGAGCTTGGACGGTGGCAGCGAGGTCCTCTGGACGTAGGTGACCTTCTCATAGATGGATGGCCTTACGGGACTAAGCGAGCTCCATCTGCCCGTGTTTGGGAATTAGAGTTGTCCTTCTCCTAGGATGGTTGCCAGAGGGCTAGTGAGCCCATTCTGCCCATGGACATATTATATCTGACCCTTCGGTTTTGACCTGTCTGGCATGGGAGACCCTGCCGACGGCATGTACTGTTGCCAGCATAGCTCACAACCTCATAGGGAATCAATTTAAATATTAGGCTTAGAAAATTAATAATACTTTTCACGAGTTTTAAAAGTAGCTAGAGTAGCTTTTCCAACGTAAAGTGCTTCTGGCTTGTAGTGGGTTTCTAGTATAAAACATCAGAATGTACAAGGTATGAAGGCATTAACTTTCATAATATCACATGGCCATAAATTAGGTTGTTTCTTATCTGTAAAGTTTAAGTGCAGGTGCTTGACTGTGTTCAAAGAAAATAAAGGTGGAACAATTCTTTCCCTGTTGCTTCCATTCTACCCCTGGCTCTAGTGTGCCATGGGCAAACTTGTAAAGGATGAATATATAGCCACTGGACAACCAATTTAGAGTTGTAGCAGAGATTGTAATTTCTTTGTGATTTCAATTTTTAGCACCAGGAGAGAGAACTTGCAGAATCAAGATGTAATGAGAGCCTTCTGTAATCAGAAGAAGGCTAATGTGGGGAGAGAAGAAAAGGGAATGCCAAATAAGGTTATTGAAAGAGGAGCACATCTTTGCATAGCAGGTGTTCAGCCACCATTGAGTTGTCTCCTTTTTATGTCATAGCAGAGGAAAGCTTTTTAAGGAGAAGCTTTGAGAAGCAGATATTCTTGGCAATCTTCCTTGTGTGAAAAGTAAAGTAGGAGACAACATGAAGATGCTCCAAAAAGAAAATTTAAGGGGTGGGATTGTCCGTGGAAGTAAGAAGTTTGGGGGTTAGGACCAGATGTTTAGTAAAATGGAAAGGAAACTGGTCTTAAGTTTCAATGTTATGAATTTCAGAGCAGAGTTTAAAACTATATTTGTCAGGACAGTATTTAATTGGTGGAGAAAATCAATTTCTGGGTGGAAAGACCAATATTAATCAACATCTGTTTAAAAGCAGTGTTTGTGCATTTTCTTATTTGATTGGTGTGCTCATCTAGAAGCAAGTTTCATTGATGTTAGTGGTGATTTGCACAGTCTTTTTGCAGCCAGTGAGAGACAGCTTTTGAAAAGCAAGAATTGAATGCAGAAATAAATTCAGCAACCTGTAAGACTGGTTTATTTTGGGATCCTAGAGAAGAATAATACCAGTTATAAATCAGTCAGTCAAAAAGAGTGACAGTGCAAGAACTTATTTTAAAGAAGAGCTTTGGTATTTCTTTTAGTCCTGTGGGACTTTATTCCTTACCTCTTCAATGAACACATCTTCCCTTCCTGGTATAGTTCAAGTTGGACAGTCTTACTTTCTTGTGCCATTAACACTGTGGGATTTACAGAAGTCAGTCTTTGTGTGGAAGTAGAGAGCTACATCATCATGTCATCTGAAAAGGTATTTCTGTTTATTTGTATAAAACTACAGGTAGCTTATTTTGTAGTTTCACTTGTAGAGCTTCACAGTGCACTCCAGGTTCATATAATATTAGCTCAGTGATGGTTTTTGTGTAAGCCCCTTCCACTCTTTATTATACAAATTTATTAGTTTGGCTAGTCTGTACAGCAGTAATTAGCTTGAAGCTGTGCTTTGTGTTTAAATAGCTGGAAAATCACTTGATTTTTGCCTCTTTCCAGATGACATTTGTACTCCAACTATTGAAATATGAAGCATTGCTTTTTTCATGGTGAGACTATTCCCTTACTGTATGAATTCATTAAGTAATTTAATGAGACTGTTGTGAATTTAGGTGATTGTGGGACCATTGATTTTAGTGATTGCATTTAAAGGCAAATGTCTAAAGCCTCAATTTGGTGTTGGTTTTTTGTCTTTATGCCTGTGACAAAGTTACTATATTTTTACCTTCCCATGCGGTACATAAAGACAGAGAAGCAACTAGCTCCTGGGGGAAATGAGACAGCAGTCACTGTCTTTCATCCCAGAGCTAAATACATAGAACTATATGAAAGATAGTCCCAAAGGAAAAAGATTGTAAAGGAGCAGTTTTGCTTCAGTTATATTTAGTTTCATTCTGCATACAATTCAGAGCTGGCATGGCTGTATGCTGGTGTACTGTAGGTTATTTTGAGCTGTATGGACACATTTTCTCTTTATTTGAAACTAATTACTTCCCTGGTTGTGGGGGTTTTTAGTTTTAGGGCATGTGAGATTTGTGGGAATTTGATAACAAGGGTTATGTGCTGTTGTAAAAAGTTTCACATGCTCTGTAACTTCCCTTCTCCTGTCACCATAGATGAAGGAAATAATGCAATGGATTTAGGTTACCTTCTTTTGTCAGACCTGATGTTAGGACCCTCTTACCTTTAAAGAATGGTTTCCACAGTTGACATGACTTTATTCCCTAGGTATGACATGCAACGAAAGCATGTAGAAACAATAAAGTTGCTCTTAAAAGCTAAATTTTCTAGCTGTAAAGAAAGTCTCAGGAAAGGACTAAAGGCCTTTTGCTTCTTTAAAAGTGTGTCATTAAAACTGAAGACAGAAGTAGACTCATAAGTCTTACTCCCAGAACTACCAATGAACAATGTACAAAGGAGTGAGCACAATAGCTCTGAAACAGAGTATTTACAGTTTTTACTCCTGGGGTGCTGCTTTGTGGAACAAAGACCACAGAATCAATACATAGCCAGACCTGCATCCCTTTCTCATTATTTTTTATTATAATATTACCTCAGAGTCTTGGTTATGAACCAGAATCGATTGGTTTAGGTTTCCACAATACCTACCACAAAGTTGAACCCTGCAGCAGAGAACTGGCAGTCAAAGACAAACCAAAAAACCCAAACCACAAGGCTGAGAGTGTACTGGGAAACAATGTTGTCACATGTCAATATTGGGTGCACTCCCAAACGATTCTAAAAACTTGTATCTGTATGTGCATGTTTTGTATAGGCATAATGGCAAAAATAGTTTTAAGGAATAATCTGAAAAAGAAAACGAAATATTTCTCAGGGATTACCTTGGAGCTGCAATTCTCATTGAAGTAGCAGTCTGAATATACCAGCTTTAAAATCCAGTGGGAGCTGTAACTAGCTAATAACTCTTGGGAGATGTGAACTTTGCTGCAGGGCAGAGGAGATGATGGGTCACGTGAGGACTGCAGGAAGGCTCTTGTGATGGAGGCAGGCAGTTTGTGTTCAGAGCAGCAGAGAAGCTGCCTGCCAGTGGAGAGTTCAAAAGGCAGTGTCTCCTTGCTAAAGGGGTGGGCTGCAACAGAGTTCCTGACTTTTTTTGTGTGTGGGTCTTGCTGCTCCTACTGTCACCTCATTCCTTTTATCTCAGCTTTTCCCTCTCCTAGCCACTGCTCCTGCTGCCTTCTTGACTGTACCAACCACTCCAGTGTTGTTGGTGAGAAGCCCAGCCAGGCCAGACTGTAAGAATTAATTGACGTGGTCTCTATGCCCTCTGCAGCTAATGCTCTTTCTTCTTAGTCATGCCTACCTCAGCAGCTGGGAATTGATGGGC